GACTCTGTGTTTCAGAGGCTTGTGAAGCTTCAGCTTTTCTCTTGTGCACAGATTGACTTCAGTTTCCTGTAATGACAAATTGAAGTGTTTGCTCTCAGTTTTGCTTAAAACTGGACTTTGGACCTTGAATTGTCAAGTTTTGCAATTTAGCTTAATGCTGTGTGAACCTAAAGAAAGATTTAGTAAAATGAACTCTTTGTTGCATTTCTTTTACGTGTAGGTTTTGTGACACAGTCTTTTCAAGTGTCATCATGATGAAATAAATGTATTATTTAATTCCATGATAAGTATCCTTATTAAATAAATATTAGTATTAGAAACATAAGTAGAAAACTGTTTAATTTAATAGTGATTATTCACAGATAAGTGTAAGGTGATACTATATTTCCTTTTTCTATTTTTTTAACACACACTTGTTGCTTAAATTTATTTACATAACATGAACAAATTCACTTTTTTATACTGTTTGACCATTTTTACTGAGGGTTTGACAGAAACATGAAATTACTTTGTAAATGACCGAGTCTTTGTTTTGTCCCCTTCTTTTGAAAGGAGATAATGTGAACATAAAAATGAATTGTTTGTTTTGAAACTTTTGAAAACCTGGTGAACATAAATGGACTTGGACAGATGTGGAAAGAGGCACTTTTTGGGGATGTGATCCTGCTGGCCAGCTCGTGTTGTGTGTGTGTGTGTGTGTGTGTGTGTGTGTGTGTGTGTGTGTGTGTGTGTGGGTGTGTGGGTGTGGGTGTGGGTTTGTGTGTGTCTGCTCGGATGCATGGCCCCTAGATGTCGTGTGTTTGTATCACATTAAACCATAAACCCTAATAGTTATTCACATATCAGAAAACATACTTAAAAATTGTTGTTGGGTTTGTTGTCACAGTAAATTGCCTGTTTAATGACCAAACAGTTTTTATGTATTCGTACAAAGTTAATATTAAATTATGATTTGAAAATTTAATCAGAAATGTTAAGGCCAGCAAGTTGGAACTCGCGTATGGTATTTTATGGAGTTCATGATGTTTTTTTCTTTTTTATATCTCAGTAAATGAAGCTAATAATTCATCATATTTTCCAGTCCAGCTGTAAGTGTGTAGCTCAGAGTAGCCTAATCCCGTGTAGAGCTGAAGTTGTATACTAGCTCATAATCTGGGTAATCCTTTGTCCTAATGCTGCTACTTTAACAAGATGAATGCATTATGGGAGTATTATCAGCTTTGTTGGGCCAGTACACCGCTGATGATGCTGCAGCCTCTTGTGTCCTTCAGCACGTGAAGACCTCAGTTAAATTTAGTTACATATACTACATATATATACTGTTGCTGTTGTAGACCAGTGTTATCAGTGCAAAATTTCTTCATTCAGTTTTGATCTTTATACTGTAAAGCTGAAATATGCTGCCGTTTGTGGACGTGCTGGAGGTATTTTCAGATCAGCCTCTTCTAGCAAGGAGCTGTAGAGATCATAACAAATAATGAGAAGATGAGGAAGAAAATTGCAAAAGTAGTTTTTGTAGCTTCCTTATTTCTTTACAAAGTGTTTAGAAATTTCAAGTAGAGCACAACTTCATGTGTTTCTTGTGAATTACCAAAAAAGTAAAATGTGTAATGTATATAAAAATATATAAATAGATCATTAAAAAAATGCATATAATGTGTAACTTTTTTGTTATTCGCACATATTTGCCCCTCACAATTGTTGAACCTGCAAACCGAAGTAAAATGCAACAAAAAGTTTTTAAAAGAAGCTCTTTATCTTTTCTTGTAAATACTGGGTTATTTTCACTCACCAGACAAGTGTCCTGTGTGTATTTCCAGAGTTTAAGTCAGCCTGTCTGCTACCCCAGAATAACCCTGACAGGTTATACATAACACCGCAGACCTCTCTGTTACTGGGGCAGCCACTATTATTTAGTTCAACTTACTAGGCACGGTTATTATTGGCAGTTCTCCTATTAATAGAGAGAACTTCTAAAAATTGAGCAGTGTGCTTGTCCTGGGCGTGTCGACGCCTCAGACCAGAGCTGTAGATAAACAAGAGTTTGGCCTCGGCAGATGTCGGTGGCAGGCATGTTAACTCTATCACCATTGGAGCTATAGCTTTTAGATTCTGTCACATCCTGATTATTTATGTTTTTTGGAGCTCAGCGTGGGGATGTTGTGGGAGGATGAAGTTAAACTCTTGCAGGGTCTGAGCTGTGGACATGGGGGCAGAAACGGGCAGCGCAGCTGAACAGTTGTCCACTGAGGGCTCTGGGTGTGCTGGCACAGCAGAGGCGCTGTGGTGTGGGAACAGCTGAGCCGCTCGGCCCCTGCAGAGGGCCGATGGTACCAGACTGGTTGGCTGCTTAATTGCCTCCGTGTGTGTTTTTGTATGAATATCTGTGTCAGTGTGCATTTGTGCGGAGATATGCACATGGGCGTCTCTTTGTTCCCCAAACTGTTTGTCCTTCTCTGTTTCTCTTTCGGTCTCATACCGGCGCTCTCTCTCCTCCGCCCTGAGTCAGTGTCTCTTTAGTCTGTCTGTTCGTCCGGTACTGTACCTTCTGCAGACCCAGCCCCCTGTTCCTCTCAGTGTGTTACCTGCAGCCCTCCTGTCACATTTCACCCCTGCCTGCCACATTCCTAGTTATCTCAGAGGAGGTTACATACCTTTGCCCCGAGAGGCAGCTGCTAAACAAGCGTCTTGCCTTTCTAGTTGTGAGAATGGCGGGCAGGCGATCAGCCGACCGTACAGGTATCAAACAGGATATTTGTACCTTTGTTAGCAGCCACTTTAGCAGGCACCCAGACATCACTCTGAAACAGCGGCTCCCAGCCTTTTTAAGCTTGTGAAACTTGACATGGCTTTCCCCAGAAAATTAGTGGAAGTGGGAACTGCTACTCTGATACACCCAGTCTTAGTAGTTGACCATGTTAGCAACCACCTCACTCATTGAGCATGTGGCTTTTGCTGTGTGAATTAGCGCCTGTTGACACCTATGCTTGGTTTCCCTGAAACGTCATATTATATTCATAAAAAATTTTAAACTTTTTTCTGGTAGTTGTAGTACTCTTTATTTCTGGTGAGGTGGCACACCTCCACTGTACTACAATATAATACATTATAATACATACTATAAGACTATTTACAACTCCTTGGTTATTGGTTGCATATGTCTACCTGCTGTGACCAGTTAATTTGTCCTTATTCAATTTTATTAATTATCGAAGAAGATTTTTTTTAGGCGTTTGATCTGGCACTGGTTATAATCAGCCAATATTTACTACAAAAGTTTGTTTTTAAATTTACAGATCAGAAAAGCTGATTTTTTTAAATAGGTTAAGCAAGTAAATATATATAATTCAAACTGAGTTTTCATTTCACAATCTCAGTATCTTGGGGCTTCTTGTGGCAAATGTTGGGGATCTGTGAAAATATTCAAGCTAACTGAAATGAATTAAATTTTAATTTATTGTTTAATGCATGATAGTAACACACATGAGGCAAAAGCACTGGCTTTAACAGACTCTCTTCTGCAGGAATTTTCTATGCAAATGTTTAAGGGCAGTAGCAAATCACTGATTGGATAATTCAAATGATATTAACTTGGCAAACGGTATAGATCCTTGTGACTCAGTGAAGTTTATCATCTACTGCACACGTCTGTGTTTTTTTTTTGTTGTTGTTGTTGTTTTTTTTACCAGTACGCTTCCAGATGTAGCTGCTGTTGAAGTCCTGCTTGTGTTGATGATTCCTTCACTGCTAACGCGCTGTTGCTTCAACCTTCAAGACGAATTGTTGTGGGAAAACATGCAGTGCTTGGGCCTGATGGATGCAGGCTAGTGGGACACTTATAATAGTTGCCGCTGTTGCTTCAAGATAATCACCGAATTCCTCCCAGTGTCGCACCACTCCTCTTTCCACTGCTAGAGCGGAACCACTCCTGTAGTTCTCCCCTACATAATGTTTCTACTATACGTTTGACTGCACTGTCAGGAGAGCTGGGATGTTTAAACCTCTGTCTCTTTCTTGTGTGTGTGTGTGTGTGTGAGAGAGGGGGGAAGCCTGTCCAGCAGCTCACATTTCTTCTGTGTTTGCATGTTTGGCGACACAGCAGCCCACATGAGCGAGGAGGAGTGACTCGTCATTTGGTTTTATTCTCTGTTCTCAAACTTCTGCAGCCAGAGACACACAAAAGAGATAATAGTCTTGTTTCCTCGACTGATGCTCATGTAAAAGTATCCGTAGTCCTTTCTTTAGGCCTGTTTTGAGCACTGACTTGTTGCAGCACACGCCTCTAGCAGGTGACACTGATACAGTCATCATGAAAAAATCAGGGCAACCTGCACACCTTGAAAAGCAGCATTAATGTAGGCCAGGTCATGCGAACAATTAACATTAACACGTTTGGGTAGGCGCTCTGCTAATCTGGAGGCACTGTAAGCCTGCATACCCACCCACGCACATACACACTGCCACAGCTCAGAGATGCATGCACGCACGCACACACACACACACACACACACACACACACACACACATGCGCGCACGCACACACAAACACACCTCTCCTCCTGTGCAAGTACTACTACAGCAGCTCCATTGACGAGGCTTCTCCCGGTCTGACAGAGCAAACGGCTGCTGGTGACTCAGACTGGCTGCCTCAGATCTCACTGTGAATTTAAAACACACGCCCCCTGGTGGCCGTTCAGGGACTGCTTTCCTCCATTTCTCCTGCTTTCACTAATGTACCGGGATGTACTGTAGTGTGTGTGTGTGTGTGTGTGTGTGTTCTGTTTTCACCATGAACACAGCATTATGCTGTCGATTTCTCAGTGTGGCAGCCTTTTTATATTTGCTTTGATTACTAAACATGGAAAATAGAAAAAAAGAAATAGACGCGCTTTCCTGCGTTATCGTGAATTTATTATACATTGCTGCTTTATTGTGTGATTAAGTGTGTGTTGGGCAGCAGCTGAGATCTAACCAGTTGTATTTCTCTGTTCTTTTTGCAGCTTCTTAGACAGGATCGATGTGGTCAGGCAGAATGACTACACACCCACCGATCAGGTGAGATGTTCAGCACACACACACCTGCATCTCTGTAGTGTTAAAACATTACCTTGCTTAAATGTTTAGTAAGATGGACAAAGAAAAATTATTAATTTTGTAAATGAGAATATTAAACAGTCAGTTTCCAGTTTCTCTGGTGCTTCTGTCTTATATCACACATTAAACTGTGGAGTTTTGAACTGCAAGTTGAACAAGCTGTTTTAAGACATCACATTGGGCTCTTGAAAATTGCGTTGTCATTTTTTGCAATTTTCTCACATTGTAATGACTAAACAACAAATTAGTTAATTGAAGAAAAAAAACAGACAGATTAGATAGAATTCATAAACGGTACATGAACAGTTTATAAATAGGCTCACTATAATGTATTTGTAAGCAGATATATTTGTATTTATTGATGTATCTGTCAACGTGGGGCCCTGTAAGTGCAGGCTGCTGTATAAACAGATAGTGGATGACGATACAGTAAAACACAATTGTAAAAAATATGAAACATGCCTTCATAGGAGAAGTTGTAATTTTAGACAGTTATACATCATATCATAGTGTGCTGTAACCTTATAACATAGATGCCATGAATGCCAAATACTTCAGTAAAGTGTTAATGGTTTAGATCTTCAACTAATGCTGCTATGTGCTGATTATTTTCTTACTTGTTTGGTCAATTAATTCTCAGAAAATTGTGGAAAATGCCCATCACAGTTTTGCAAAAAATATTCAGTTTCCGATGACACAAGACAAAGAAAAATGACTTAAACAATTAGTCGATTATCAGCATAGTTGTCTATTAATGTAATATAATGAACTGTAATATTCAAAACATGCTCAGTCTATAGATGAACAGTGTTCAGTTTAAACATTTAAATTCACCTCTTAATCACCTTTGATTTCTGTTGTGTTGTGTTGAGTTTCCTTAACTTACAACTTACGTCTGTTGCTCCTCCTGTTTTTTTCAGGACCTGTTGAGATGCAGAGTACTGACATCTGGGATCTTCGAGACAAGATTTCAAATAGACAAAGTCAATTTCCAGTGAGTGAAGATATCGTTTATTTCCCTTACTTTAGGATAAACTGTCCACGACCTTTCAGTATATATTGTCTACACACCTGTTCACTGGTTCAGTAATTGAAGTCCTAACGCTGGTTTTTCAGTGTAAATTAAACTTTGAACTTCCTCTTTCTCACAGTATGTTCGATGTTGGAGGTCAGAGGGATGAACGTAGAAAATGGATCCAGTGTTTTAACGGTAGGATGTTTGTTGTTTGTTGCTTTAGTGTACTGATGAAACTTGCTGAAAAATAATCGGTGACAGGCAGTTACTGACTCAGGATTTTTCATTGGGGATTTATTTCCAGTTTTGTCAGATGCATGTCGAGTTCTTTATTTAAATTTCAAAGTAAGATGGGGTGCAGGTGCATGTATTAGAGTTTTTTGGTTAGTTTCGTTGCTGTGTTAAAACTCCTCTGTTTTGTGTGTGTGTGTGTGTATGTGTATGTTTGTGTGTGATACAGATGTGACAGCTATCATCTTTGTGGTGGCGAGTAGCAGCTACAACATGGTGATCAGAGAAGACAATCAGACCAACAGACTACAGGAAGCCCTCAACCTTTTCAAGAACATCTGGAACAACAGGTCTGCATCTTTTTTCCTCGTTCAATCACACACACAAACATTACCCCATCAATGCTTACTCATGAATACTGTGTGTGTGACAGTTGCAGGAAGGTTCCTAGCATCCAACCGTACGTGCTCTCCAGCCATTTTGCATATTTGAGTATAAAATGGTTTGAGCTTTAGAGTGGTATTAAGTAAACGTTTAATGGTTTCTAATTCTTCTGTTTGTGCGTTAGATAGTTGTAATGATAAGACCTCATGAATGACGGCTTCCACTGAGATGCACTGTACTAACCTTGTTGGAAGGTTAGTACAAGCTGCCCCCTTTGTGGGACACGTGATCTTTGCTGCCGATGTAGAAACTGATGCAGCAATAAAAAACGGCATCAAGTTTGTGTTTTGTGTCGTAAGTGGTGTTCATTTTTCCACACGGAAATGATTGTCTCTTCAGCACTCAGTATCATCGTTTACGAAAAAGCCAAGTGGATTTTCTGATGTCAGCATCGCACAAGATGTGATGAGGAGAGCTGCTACTCAGGCAAAGCGTATTAATAATGCCACCTGAAAAGTGGGGACTCTCCGACAACAGTCCTGAAACATTTATTTTTTTGGGTGCTCTAACAAAGTCCAAAGAATAAATCTGGCACTGAACTCTTTCTTCATTTCCCTCCACAGGTGGCTACGGACCATTTCAGTAATCCTCTTCCTGAACAAACAGGACCTGCTCGCTGAGAAGGTTTTGGCAGGGAAATCTAAAATTGAAGAGTATTTCCCGGAGTTTGCACGCTACACTACACCTGATGACGGTAAGAGGTTGACACTGATATCCGTGTGTGTCACATAACATACATACATTTATCAATTTTTCTCTATGTGTAATGGATAGATTCAGTTGGTTCAGTGTAGATGATGAGTCAAGTATTTATCTCTGTCTTAACCAAAGTAAAAACCCATAGACACAGAAAGCTTCCACAGTGGTCTTAAAGGATAATTCTGGTTTGACCTGCCATTATCGCTGTAGTTTTCCTGTGCAACGATGAATTATGTCATTTATTTATTAGAACAGTTATGCCATTTGGTGATGCCCAGTTTTGGTTTTACCTTCAAATGAAATGTTTAAGATAATCTGACTAAAACTCAACCTTATTTACAACCTGTCTGATTGTTCAACTGCTTAGGCTTCTTTTATTGAGGTGATGTTTCTGTTCTCCAGTAATTAGTTATTAGAAGCGGTGCTTCTTAAATTTCAATGGCTCGGGGCAAAAGTGATTTAAATGTGACCAGATTTTTTCTTGTCCAACAGCAATACCAGAGCCAGGTGAGGATCCCCGCGTCACAAGGGCAAAGTACTTCATTCGGGATGAGTTTCTGGTATGTACAAAGCTCATGTTTTGTTCAGTTTCTTTGTATATTTCATGTTGTTATAATTTTGCTTGTCTGGTCCTGACATGACATGTGCTGTTTAACGGCTTATTTGCATGACTCTCACTCCACTACATTTCTCTCCTTTATTAGAAAGAGATGTTCCTCCTTTATTTCTTTATAACATCAGTTAAGATAAGATGGATGAAGTTTCGCCAATAAAAAAAAAAAACTAAAACCAGTTATTTTAAAGTTTTACTCAACTTTAATTTACTATATGTCAGCAGCACACAGTAAATAAAGATTTTAACTTTCTAAAGTTAAAAAACATTGTTTACAAGAAATCTATTTTTATATTTCAATCAATATTTTTTCCATTATGCCATCTACAGTCCACCATGGACCAATTTCGTATACAATTTTTATACAACATACAATTAGGGCAATCCATGAGCTGAGTGTACTTGTAAGCTTTCACACTTGTTCTGTAAAAACGATAACAGAGGAGCAAAAAAAGCAGTTAACAGAAAATCCAAAGCAAAGGACTTCATAGTGTGATCACAGTCTGCCTGGCAAATGTTTTCTTGGATGTGTCGCGTAAAACCACACCAGTGACAGCTCAGCAGCAAAGATGTCACCAAAAGTCCAAATGGAAATGTCACAGATGGCCACCTTAATGTCCCACTCAGTTACAGTGTGAAAATGATCTGTGCCTGAAAGAAATTCTCAATAGATCTCAGCATGTCCTATAACAGTGATTCCCAACTAGGGGTAGGTACGTACGTGTATCTCAGGGGGGACTAATGCATTTGCCAGGGTGTACATGAAAAGATGACTCATTTTATGAAATAAAAATTACAATATGATTAGATAAATATATATCCACATATTGAGTCAGCCGTAACAGCTGAACACTACACCTTGCCATTAAGAATGTGGGAAAAGTAATGGATAATACGTTGAAATAGATCAAAGTAATGGATACGTTTTAAGACAGATGGCTAAATGTAATGGTCAGTTACAGTTGTTGTTAAAATTGTCAGCTAAAAGTAACGGATAAATGGCGAATAAGCTAAAAATATTGAATCAATGTTTCAACAGCTAAAAGTCATGGATAGATTTAAGGTAAAGGTAATGGATGAGGTTGAAGAAGATCGTTAAAAGTACTGGATAAATGGGGGAAATGCTGTAGTTAGTTAAAAGTAATGGACTCCACATGGTAGTAGTACAAATGCAAACTTGACCAAACCGACCTAAACAATATCCACTTTAAAATCCATTAAAAACAACACATTTGGAACATAGCGGGTGGTGTTGATGATGTTTTGATGAGTTTATCTGACAGAGTTGTGGGGGTCTATCGGACGAAAAAGGGTTGGTAATCACCGTCCTACATCACTGACTTGTCTTGTCTTCTGTGTCTCCTCCAGAGGATCAGCACAGCCAGCGGGGACGGACGGCATTACTGCTACCCCCACTTCACCTGTGCGGTCGACACAGAAAACATCCGCCGCGTCTTCAATGACTGTCGCGACATCATACAGAGGATGCACCTACGGCAGTACGAGCTCTTGTGATGGGCAGCGGCGTCCGGTCTACTTATCTACCTGCCGACCTACCTATCTACCCCCCCACGACCAGTTAGCCAATCACCCCCTCCACTTCCACCAACTTCACCAATCAACTGAGCGAACAAGCGAGCGACTGACCGCCTGCCCTCCCTTCCACCCTGATACAACGTCTCCCGGTAACAATTTCAGAAAAACAGAACAGTGGAACGACGTGTTTTTTTGTTTTTTGTCTCTTTTTTTTTTCAAAGGAAACACAGTTAAGGATACACCAACAACAGTTTCATCAACTATTAGCCAGGACTGATTGCTGTACTCAGTTATACTTTGACCCAGGAAAGAGGGTCAAGACTGGAATCCCTCAGTGCAGGCTCTCCCTCCTTTTAGCTCTCTTTCTCTCTCTCAGATATATGAACACACACACTCGCAGGTACACACACACACACACACACACACACACACACACACACACACACACACACACACACACACTACAGCATAAGACATTCAGAAGCCTTAAATAGGTTTTAATGTCTCATATCACAGTCATACACACACATAGACCCTTTCAAAACCAAGTCCTCCTGCTTTCAACAGTTGGCAGAGGCTGGATTAAGTAATGCATCCTGAGAGAGAGGTAGTTTATTCACCGCGTGCTGCAGACGAACCAGGAGAAAGAGAAGAGGAGAAAGATGGACATGGAGGGTGGCAAACTGAAACAGAGGAGGGCTGTGAGCCTTTTTTTTTTTTTTTTTGTGCCCGAGGACGGACTAATTGACTAACGGCTGCCTGTGGACGTGAACGTGACTCGAACATAAGACCATACGGCTCACGTGACCTGCTCTTCAACAAACCAATCGAGGAGGGATGGCAGAAAACAACAAAAACAGAAAAAAAAAAAAAAGAAAAATACCATACAATGCATAAATTCATGCATACCAGTGAACTTCATGCAGTGCAAAAAAATCCAAGCTATATATATATATAGATATTTATATATGTGTGTATATAAATATGTATATATATAAATATAAATATTATATATTCCTGTAATAACACAATTCAACTTTTAAGTTTTTGTTAGTTTTTACCCCATGTTGTGTGTTGGTGTACACTGTGTGTGTGATCTGCCTTTGTGCACCATTTAAACCCCCCCCCCCTTACCCACACACATACACATATATATACACACACACACATATACATCCTGGTCCCCCCACCCCCTCGCCCCTGCTGCTATTTGACAACTACTCAACATATGGAAAATAAAGGAGAGATTTTATTTAATAAGGAAAAAAAAAAACAAACGCAAAAGGAAAGCATGAAGTAAAAGATATGACTTTACGAGTCTGGATGCAACATTTTTACCTGGGAACACACATACACAGACACACACGCACGTACACATGCGCCATATACACACACACCACTCACAACACACACACACACACACACACACACACACACACACGCTCCCGCCCACACAACCCCCTCCCTCTCCACCACACCCCTCACGACCCCCCCTTTCATCTTGTTCTCTCACCTCTCCCAATCCCACTTCCTCCCCCTCCCGGCTTTAAGTACGTCTGTCTTTATTTTACTGCTGGACTATTATTCTTGTACAGACTGTAAAATGTATTATTTTGTACAACTTTATTGAAGAAAAAAAAATAACTTGTAGAAGATCCCTGTGCCTTGATCACGACTGTACGTGTAAAAATGAGCTAATATGTAAGTTATGTTTCACTGCGCTGTACAGCTGGACGGGTCTGTCCCACCTCGTCCGTGCTAGCTCACCCCTCCGCTGAGGGCTGGGGGGGAGGGGCATCGGATCGGGGCGGAGGCCTTTCGTCTGTTGCTTAGTTTCCATTTTTTTCCCCCATATTTGTTTGTTCGTTGATTCATTTGTTTTGCTTTGACTCTCCTCTGGTTTATATAATAGGATTTGAAGAAAAAATGAAGAAAAAAAAAGATAATCAGACACACCACCTTAATGCTGTGTAGTGAAAGAAACTGAACCCTAACACAATTTAATATATATAAAATATATTTCAGATTTTATATTTTATATATATATATGTACTGTACACTTATATCTATCTCCCTTGTGAGCTGTCCCCCAGCTTTCCTTTGCTTTCTGTCAGTAACATCTGCATACATTTTCAGAAGGTGGCAATTCTGGGTGCAGTGGGATGGGTATTAATTTCTTTTTTTTTATTTTAGCTTTAACTCTTTTGAAGGAGAGGGAAATATCCAATTGCAAAACATTGCTTGTTTCTACATAAACCAAATTCTTTTTGCTTAAACAAGAAGAAACGGTTGTATTAGTGTTTGGTTCATTCCTAGACTCAGTATACTAGATCCTCTCACCTGAGGTCCACATCACATAAACTCAGTTGCCAGTTTACTAGGTACACCTAGCTAAAACTAATGCAGTCTAATACAACAGTCCTGCAATAAATTCTTCCTTTATGAAGGTTATAATGTCCAGCAAGAGGTGTTTCTTATACTTTGTCGTCCCTATTTGTCTATCAGTGAGGGTAGACACCTCTCAGTAAAACAAGGTGCAATTAATGATGATAATAATATTTATTTATATAGCACATCAAAACTGGAGATTATAAAGTGATGTATAAGGAAAAAGAAATTCCAAATATAATAAATATAAAAAATAAATATAATACAAAATCATACAACATACGAATACAACATGGTAGCAAATTACCCAATAGGGTAATAAAGAAGCCTTTTGATAGAAAAATATTTTCATAAGAGATTTTATAACCTCCAAAGTGATCAAGTTAATTCAACACCTTTCTGAAACAAAACAAAAACTGAACATTGTAACTGTCATGAAGGCAGTATGTGCTGCAGGACTGTTGCGTTAAACAGCATTAGGTTTAGGTAGGTGTACCTAATAAGCTGACAACTGAGTGTAAACTAATTAGTGTTTGTGACACATATCAGTCTTGAGGAATATTATGTTTTTTTTCCTTGAAACTTTTACCAAAGTCGCATCCTACACAACTCACTTTTCATAGTACATGGAATGTATTTAATTGAGACATACAGAGCCAGTGTCAGAGCCTTGTTCCCTACACAGACTATTTTATTCCTGAAGATCTTTGTCAAAGATACAAATATGGTCTCTGCCATGGCCTTGCTTTGAAGTAGCCTTATTTTCTCAAGTCTCTCAGAGTCAGATTGTTCCCCGTGGTCTCAAGGACAAAACTGAGATGAGTATTGTAGGTTGTGATACACTAAATGCACCAACCAAGCACAGGAGACATTATCAAAGAATTAAGAAAAAAATGAGTATGTTTTCAATCTGTTTGGCTTTGCAAAGGGCCACAGAGTATAGATGAGGTTGTTGACCAGCTCGATATTCTACACACTATCTTCCAAAACACAGTGACTGGCTTCCCTTTGAGCCTGTTGTCATTAATATATTGCAGTATATAATTATTTGATTTATTTTCAGAGCGATTTGAGTCTCCAGGTTTACATCTGTGGCTTAATCCTTCAAATCTGCAGCAGTGATAATGTGAAAGAAGAGATTACATTCACTGTTTATTTTTACGTCAACACCTCCTCACCTGTGTTCTCCTTAATGCCACACAGGCTACAGCAGTGAGAGAGTTTTATTTTTAGCTCAAAAAGAAGAAAAACCCATTTGGCTTTTTTTCTATTTTGGCATCAAGTGTTCTCAGTATTTGTTGATTTTCCATTTCTAATTTTTCCTGTACAAAGACTAAGAGACACAGCAGATACAGGTGCATACATTTTTAGGTAGGAAGGAGTCATAGATTAGCTGAGTTCGTTTGCACATTGGGCTGGTGTGTTTAAGATCTCAAGGACACAAAAGTGTTATTGCAGCTAAACAGCCAGGCCTGTACATGCCTTGTTTATTGTTGATGGCACACAGTGAATTGCAAAAGGAGTAACCTGATGTAATGACTTTCAAAAGACAACAACTTTCTGGATCCAGAAAATTAATAAACCTGAGAAGATGGGAGCTCATCCTAGGAAGAAATTAAACTGGTAAGCATTTGCAGCACACAGTAAAGATTGACCATCCAGAGAAGTCTTAACCGTCGAGATTCAAGAGGAGTCAAACAGCATGTCACATGCGCATCTCAATTTCATGGAAATCTTGCTGATAGCCCATCTGTTTCCTTGTTGGAGCAACAGGATTATGTGGTGAAGCTGGTAATTCATCCTCTAGTAACACGGTCCAATGCCACTTCCGGGGCTACAGTGTGTGCAGACTGACAGTCACGCCTAACAAAGAATTGCACTATAGTTTCACTTTACAGTGGTTTAATATTATTGCCTTGCCATCTATGCAAAGTATGAAGAAGTGAGAGGTGTGTAATGAAGGCTGAAGCTCCTCTGAAACGTCAGGTGAAGCTACACCCATTAACCAGAAGATGCAGAGAGGTTTCACATTTTCTACTGCAGCTGACTAGCAACTAGTTAATCTGCACGATATTGCACCACCCACTCTGTCAACGAGTAACTGGGCAGATACTTGCAGCTAAATCCATTTAAGTGCTCTTAAAGGGTAGAAAACTCTGCACAACTCTGTTGTTTCAAACGTTCACACATGGCCAAAGGCATGGTGACACCTGAGTATTACATCTATATGTGATTGTTGAACACCTCATTCTCAAAACATAGGCACAAATATGCTGCTATAACAGTGTCCACTCCTCTGAGAATGATTTCCACACAATTTTGGAACCTGGCTGCAGGACCTGTCTCCCATTTGGCTACAAAAGCATCATTCAGGTCAGACATTGATGTCAAATGATAAGACCCAGCTCGTAGACTGTGTTCTGGATCATCCCAAATGTGTTGGATTGGGTTGAGGTTAGGCCTCATCATGTTAAACCAGGAAATGCTTCCCCAAACTGTTGCTACAAAGTTATAGGCACACTTTTGTGTGGTCGCATAAGGATTTCTCATAATGGGAACTAAAGGATCTCAGACCAAACCATGAAAAACAACACATAAGTAAACAAAAGTATAATGTCCACCCACATGCCTTTACATTTTAATCCATAGAGAGCAATGCAGCAGCAGATTTATCTCTCTATTGTCTTTACACAGCTGAATGTGTATACTATACATTTATTATAAGCCATTTTTATAAGAATTCAGAATAATGTTTTGCTAGCCTTTCACTCGAACTCAAAACAGTGTGTCTCTTACAGCTTTTAAGGTTTTAGCCACAAATTGTTGCATGCATGATATCCTCTGTGGCAGTATCATCCACTTTCTTGGTATTTTATTTATAACTTTATTAGGTATGGAAGCAAATAATGGCCATAAAGATGTGGATTTTATAGGCAGGTGAATACCTCATTTTAAATTTAGCCACCATGGCATACTTGATGTTGAAGTTTAAACAACACTGCATTTATAGCATTTAAATGTTTTACTTTGAAAATCATAATCTGACTTAATGTGGTCTCTTTGAAGTTTTCAATTTTCAATTTCAGTTTGAGTGTTGCGTCATTTGAAAAACTTTATAAAACTCAATTAGTATGCCGGTAATGGTTCAGACTACAGTGAAAGACATACTTTTCCCCCGCTCCACAAGAGGGAGACAAAGGTTAAAAACAAAGATAAACTAAAAAGAAAAAACACGTGGGCCGAACCGGACGACAAAATGTGCTTCCTCCCGCAAAACCCCGCCTCCACGTTTCCATGCATTGGCGCGCTTCCCCCCTGCTCTCTGCTCCTCCCCGGCTGCTGGTGGTGGTGGACTAACTCTGTAGCGGGCTGCGGGTGAAAACACAGCAGGCATGAGTGCAGCGGGTACTGCGCGGTCCGGTTCGGCGGCCGGCCCGGTCCAGCAGGGATTAAAAGAGGCTCTGATCGAGACGCTGACGGCCATCCTGTCCCCGGTTCAAGAAGTGCGCGCCGCCGCGGAGGAGCAGATCAAAGTGCTGGAAGTGACA